TTGGGAGCCAAATGCGAAAAAGCTCTACCTCCTTTAGTGGACTTTGCTATCCTAGGTACTACCAAAAGTCCAGAGTTTTGCGACCTTAGGGAGCGTGATGGATTGTAGCGTGGTAGAAGACTAGTTAGGTACGCAGGAGCTAACCCATTAAGGGCCTTATAGGCAAGTAATAATATTTTGTAACTGATACGGAATTTAATAGGTAGCCAGTGCAGAGACTGTAAAATTGGAGTAATATGATCATATTTTCTTGACCTGGTAAGGATTCTAGCCGCTGCATTTTGGACTACCTGTAGCTTGTTTATTGAAGATGCAGGACAACCACCTAGCAGTGCATTACAATAGTCCAGTCTAGAGGTCATGAATGCATGAACTAGCTTTTCTGCATCAGAAACAGGTAACATGTTTCGTAACTTGGCAATGTTTCTAAGATGGAAGAATGCTGTTTGCCACATTCATACGAGACTTGCTTCATTCAGAGTTTGCATGGACATTGACACCACAGCTCGAAGAATCACATCACAGATGCTTTATTTTCTCTCTGATGGCGTTTAATGATTAGTGTTCGTGTTTGTGTGATTGTGTTGATTGTTGCTGATGTTGTTTGTCAGATATGGAGTCAGCGGAGAGGCTGGTGACCCCGAGAGCTGCAGCAAACCCGGAAACCTCACTGACAACAACACACAGCAAGATCGGTAAGAAAACACACAATCACCAAATCCAGGCATAAAAATGGAATTTATGGTATAATGTGGAATATCATGGAATCTGGCAAATGTAGCAAATAGAATAAGTTCAGAAAGTTCAGTTTAACTTGAAAAAATACATTGTGACTGAAATACATTGCTATTGTACAGTGGAATGTACTTTTCAAATAATAATAATAAAATTATTAAAACTTAATTTTTTTTTAAAGTGTCTCACAATTTTACAGCGACACTTTGTTTGCCAAAAATAAAAAATGTTTAAATATGTATTTGATTGCATTGTATTAAAGTATTTATTAAATCGTTAATGTTTTTTGCCTTTATTTGATTATCACCAATAATAAATATGTATTGCATTATAAATCCAGAAAAATTAAAGCAGACAAAACCGAAGTTCTGGAATGTATATATG